CACTGTCATTGTCCTCCTGTTGTTCATCAATTTGCTCGAGTGGGCCCAGTAACATTGTGAAACTTGTTGTTACTGTGTTTGGCATATCGAATACATCACAGGTAGGTTGCCAGGCTTTGCCGTTCAGGCTAAATACTCTCAGTAGCTTGCCGGGCTCTCTGAGAGGGGTGGAGGAATTGAACTTGGGTCGACCAGGTGGGACTTGTGCACGGCAAACGCCCTGTCTGCTGTGCTATTTCTCCAGCCCCATAATTCATGGTGACTCAATAAAACTTTTTAAAATGTGGTTTTCTACAGCACCCAAAAGGAGAGGGAGAACAAAAGGGAATGCCCTGCCACAGAGGCAGGGTGGGATGGGGGTGGTGGGGTGTGGGAGGAATACTGGGATCCGTGGTGGTGGGAAATGGGCACTGGTGGAGGGATGGGTACTCAATCATTGTATAATTGAAACCCAAGCACAAAAATGTATAAGTCTACAACTGTACCTCATGGTATTTCACTAATAAAATTTTTTTTTAAATGTGGTTTTCTGTCTCAACTTGTTCTATAATTTCATAGAACAGCCACGCTGTTCCATCTGTAGCAGCACATTCTTCTTATTGTTAAGTTGTAAATACTCCACAATTTGTTTATCTATTGCCTGTTTTCAACTTTGTTTTGGAACTAAATCTGGCAATGCTTCTGGGCTACTCTAGGTTCTGTTCTGTGCTCAGGGGCCTCTCCTGAAGGTGACCATATGAGGTGCTTGAGGATTGAACTGGAGTTGGGGACATGCAAGGTAAACATATTAACATCTGTCTTTTGTCTTCAGCCCCTCTGGTCACTTGATGGACACCTTCAATTATTTCCAGTTAATGCTCCAAGAATAAAGTTTCTATGAACATTAACTTATGTCATTTGTCAGAACATGCTTTTTTCACATAAAGGTAAAGGTAAAGGCCCTCCCATTGATCATCGATTTGCTCGAGTGGGCCCAGTAACGTCTCCATTGGAGACTTTGTTGTTACTGTGTCTGGCATATCAAATACTCTCGGTAGTTGCCGGGCTCTCCGAGAGGGGCGGAGGAATCGAACTCGGGTCGGCCATGTTGGCTGCATGCAAGGCAAACGCCCTACCCGCTGTGCTATCGCTCCAGCCCTGCTTTTTTCACATAAATATCTAGAAATAGATTTGATATTTTATTTGTTTTGGGGGAGCACACCCAGTTGTGCTCAAGGCTTACTCTTGGCTCTGTGCTCAGGGATCATTCCTGGTGTTGCTTGGGAACCATATTGGGTCCTGGGAATCAAATCTGGGTGAGTCATATGCAATGCAAGTGTCTTGCCAAATGTACTATTGGTCCAGTCAGAATTGTTACATAAACAACTTTATGTTCAAATTCAATAATAAAGTAACAGTACAAAGTGGCTATATTTTACACTTCTATCAACATAAGACTTCTAATCTTGTCCCACATCCCAGTCAATGGCTGTATTGTCCTTCTTTAATTTTAGTCACTCATGTGGGCATCAAGTAATATTGTGATTTTCATTTGCATTCCCTTCATGAAAATGTTGAGTGTTTCTTCCTGCCATTATTGGCAATTATTATGCAATATATTTGTTCAAATGTATCTCTTGCCTTTTTCTTACTGCACTGTTTGTCTTTTTGCTGAAACTAAAGGTCCTTTACATATCACGATCACGATCACAACAATCCTGTTGTTCGTCAATTGCCTCGAGCAGGCCCCAGTAACGTCTCCTTCATCCTAGTCCTGAGATTTTTAAAAAAAGTGCCATATTCAAGGCTCTTTCAGGGTTAGGAGAATGAGACCCATCATTGTTATTGGTATTTGACATATTGGGTACGCCACAAGGAGTTTGCCAGACTCTGCCATTTGAGCAGGTTACATTCGGTAGCCTGCCAGTTTGCCCAAAGTAAGAATGAGATAATAAGATGTCACGTGGCCACAAATGCGGCCGCATTGCTTCCGGGAGCTGGGTTTTATAGTCTCTGGGTCTTGGCCGTTGATGGGATTACACTGCACCAGGGGGCCAGTAGGTGGGTGTGACCCCTGCCTATTGACGATGGAGGATCTGGGTGGAGGATGCTCAGCCCCGATCTGAGCAGGCTTGGAGATCTCAGGCCTGGGACCTGCATGCCTTTGTTCCTCTGCCGGTACCTTCATGCGTGTGGAGTGTGGTCTCAGCATGGTGGTGGCTGGTTATACATATACATATACATATGCATATGTATATACATATACACAATATGTCCTTTGCCACATATATGAATTAGATGCAATTTCTTCCAACCTGTGATTTGTCTTTTTTTTTTGTCTTTGTGTACTTTGTGGTATTTCTCAAAACTGAAATGTTTTTGTTTTGGTGAAGGCAAATCTACCAAGTTCCTCATTTTAAACTATTCAAATACAAACATATGTGTGTACCTATATATCTATATCTATAGATATAGATATATAGGTATATGTGTATGTGTGTGTGTGTATATATATATATATATATATATATATATATATATATATATATGTCACACCCAGCACTGCTCAGGATGTACTCCTGGCTCTGCACTTAGGTATCACTTCTGGCTCTGTGCTGGACTTGGGGGACCATATGGGACACCATGAATTGAACCTGGGTTGGCTGCATGAAAGGCAAGCACATTATCCACTGTATGGCTGCTCAACCCCAAACTGTTAATTTATTTTGTGTCCTAAAAATCTTTCTTTACCCCTAGATCAAAGATTGTACTTTTTTAATGTAAGAATACTGCTATTTATTCAGTCACTGATAAAGCTGACTGAAGCAGGCATATATTTCACTTTTTAAAAAAAAAAGTTTTACAGTTTTGATACATATGTTAGGTCATTAATTCACTGTAACTGTCACTGTCCTCCCATTGTTCATCGATTTGCTCGAGTGGGCCCAGTAACGTCTCCATTGTGACAATTGTTACTGTGTTTGGCATATCGAATACGTCATGGGTAATTTGCCAGGCTTTGCTGTGCGGGCAAGATACTCTCGGTAGCTTGCTGGGCTCTGCAAGAGGGGCAGAGGAATCGAACTAAGGTCAACCATGTTGTCTGCATGCAAGGCAAATGCCCTACCCACTGTGTTATCGCTCCAGCCCGGTCATTAATTCATTAACACTAATTTTTGTATCTGTTATGAATCAAGGCTCATTTCCCCATACTGTTATTTAGCTGTCTCAGCAAGGCTATCCTTTCCATATTGACTTTTGTATTTTTTAAAACTTTTCAATTCAAAGAACAGTGATTTACAAAGTTGAGTTTTAGACATAAAATGTTGTAGCACCAATCCCATCACCAGTGTCAACTTCCCTCTACTAGTGTTCCCAAGTTCCCTCCCACCCAACCAGCTTGCCATCTTGATTGGCACATTTAAAGTTCTATGGTTGTAGTTTGGAGCTCTGTGTTTTTGGTATTGTTGACCCCATGGTTTCGATATATTGTTATATCACTTTCCCATTTACCAATGTCAAGGCCCCCAAATTCCTATTTCCCTATTACCTCCCTTTCTCATCTCTTCCTTTGTCTCACTATCCTGCTCCTCCAGGGGAATCTCATTGCCTTATTTTTGTCAAAAGTCAATAGATACAGATGAGGGTCAAGTGGGCAGAGAGACTATCTATATCTGGGGTTTCTTTTCTACTGAACTGATAACACTAATATTACATTGTCATGATTACTGTAACATTGTAGACATTCTTTTTGGGGGTGGGATCACATCTGGCTCTGCTCAGGGGTTATTCGTAGCTCTGCACTCAGGAATTACTCCCAGCAGTGTTCAGGGGGATCATATGGGATGCCAGAGATCGAATCTGGGTAGGGCACTCAGACACGTGCAAAGCAAGGACTCTACCCACTGTACTATCTTTCTGGCCCCCAAATTACAGACATTTTGATAATAAAAAATCATTGTACAACTCCTTTTCTACAGATTTGAATTTTTTTAAAGTAAAAAGTTCGGGGTGAGCGGCTGGAGAGAGAGCACAGTGGGTAGGGCATTTGCCTTGATGACGCAGGTTTAATTCCCAGCATACCTTATGGTACCCTGAGCACCACTAGGGGTAATTCCTGACTGCAGAGCCAGAAGTAACCCCTGTGCATCGCCGGGTGTAACCCAAAAAGAAAAAAAAAAGTCCCCTGAGTCCATCAGGAGAGATTCCTAAATATGCAGTCAGGAGTAAGCCCTGAGCACTGCTGGATGTGACTTCAAAACCAAAATAATAATAATAAAGATAATGAGATTGATAATAAAACCAACAAATTACTGGGGAGGATGACTCAAATGGTCTAGCTTCTCATGTTCTCTTCCATCCCAGTAGCTCCAGGGCTAGGCCAGGCCCTACTAAAAATTAAATAAATAATAAAACCAGCACATGCTGGACTATATATATATATATATATATATATATATATATATATATCCACATATATAAACATATGTATGTATATACATGTGTGTATACATAATAAATCTCACATTTATATATATATGTAAAGATGGTATATGAATTTACAAGACTATGAAATGTAGATTAAAGACATTTTGTTTTTCAAAAGAATCGAGTGAGATTTGGAACAGACAATAATAAAATTGGCAACTCACAACAGTGAGGGGAAAACACACCCCAAAATGAGAAAAGCAAAGCCATTACAGAACTCAAAGGGAAAACTTAAATATAACATTAAAAGTGACTTTCTTCCAAGTTAATCTTCCAAGTTAATCGCTAGATTTAATGCTGCTCTAATGAAAATATAAACCTAAGATTCTTTATTTTGGTCACATCTGGAAAGTATCTAAAATACATTTGGAAATCTTAGAGAGCATGATTAAAAAGAAGACAGTAAAGGTGGATTACGCTTATATGACATTACACTGTGCTATCAAGCAAAAAATGAAACCAAGAGCCAGAAATGGGATTTGATGGACTTTCAGAATGTAATGAAGAACATTAAAGAAAGACAGAGAAAGTACCTTGGACTGATCAGTCTTCCTCACAGTGGGGATATCAGTGCCTTGTAATCTTTGTTTTAAAGAATTGAAAGGTTTACGCTTTTTGTTGAAGTTTTCTACATATTTTTCCATGCCTAGCCTAGAAAAGAAGGAGTGGGGATTACAATATTTTAATGTATTCTCACAAAAGTTGCAATGCCTTGGTGTATAGTCAACTCCCAGTGTGGGGACTGACTTGTAACTTCAGAGCCAAGTTCATTCCCATCAATTCTCAAATCACAGTTGACCCAATTCATCTGGCCCTCTTCACCCGGATTACACACAGTGAGATACTGAGTTTGGGCACAGACAATGAAAGGCCTCTGCGGCAGGAGAGATTTACATATTGAACTCCACCACTTGGGCTGTGTGAACGGTTCCAAGAATGAAATAATATTGAAAATACAAAGTTTCTAGTTTAAATTGAAATACATATTTTTGATATTGAGTTAGGTACTGAGTGAAGCCAGTGAAATTTTCTTGATCATTTCTTCTGTTCTCGTTTCCTGCCTTCTCTGCTCCTAAATCCCAAAAGCAAGTCATCCAGCAGTGTAACAGGAAATTGGAGTTTCAACATTCTTAATATTCATCTTTACCATTCTCTTGAAATAACCCTTTGTGTACATCAAGGAGAAAGTTTCGTACTAGTGAAACCTCCACAGGAAATCTCTTCTTACTCCTCAGAACCTCAAAGTGGAGTCTAATTATGCTACTTTTATACTTGCAGCATATTAAATTACTTTACCCTTGACAATGAGTGGAGAGAAATTTGAGAATATCTGCAGAAAACAGCTAGAATAAATAAGTAAATAAAGACCATATAAATTCCATTTAAGAAAGATTCTTTTGACTAAACATTTCACATTCATGAAGTCCATTCAAAGGAAATCTAAACTTATAATATTACATCTAAAAACATTACAATATTGACAATAGAAAAAATGTTCTTTGTCTGTGTAGTCTTTTATGTGTTCAACCTTCCTGATAAAATGTTCAGGAAACTAACACAGATCTTTGCTTGTGTACATCCTTCTAAAGTCTATTTCATCACTATGGCATTATATCATTGTCTTTTGCCTTGCCTTTGGAACTTCAAATTACAATCGCTTACAAAGGTCTTATCCAGATGCAGCATGCTAGACTCTGAACAGGCCTGTCTCTGCTCTAAACAGAGAGACCAGATGACTTGAAAACTACTCTCTGTAGCCTAGAGATAGGCCTAAGAAGTAAAACTCAAAAGGGCCAAGATAGTGCCAAGGAGATAGTACAGAGGTTAGGGTGTATGTACATACACCAGGTTTGATTCCTGGTATCATATGGTCCTCTGAGCATTGCAGGGTGTTACCAGGGAGACTCCTGAGCACCCCTGGGGTGGCCTGGTGGGCACTAGCACTGAAAGGTCTAAGCAGCATCACATGGTCAGGCCTTAACTAGCACTCAGTCTCCGGCTGGTGCACTGCTTATCACTTGGAGTGACATCGGGGCCCCCAAGACATACTTGGCATTTAATGATCCTTCTTCAGCAGAACTTCCTATGTTTTAAACCTATTCTTAAGGGCTGCAAATCCATTCCTAAGTCATGGGAGAACCTGTGAGCTCCCCTTCTAATTTCACCAAGTTCTCACTATCTCAAATTAGAAGAACAGAGATTTTAGTTTTTAAATTCCCCCAGAGAACTAAAAATCTCCAGCGTGATTTTATAGTCATTTGCCTGAGATGTAGTTAGGCTTATCATCCAAATCCTTTAAGCTTGACATGAATCCTTGATCTAAAAAGACCCAACTAATAATTGCATTTTCATCTTAAACACAAAACAAAACAAAAACCACCCCCCTTTACCTGGAAATCCCTTTTTTGTTAATAGGACCTAATACCCCTTTTGGTTCCCTAATTAAAAAAGAAAAAAAGCTTTTGTGCACCTTTATAGCCATCCATCAGGAGACTTGACATGCAATCAACTTGAAGTTGGTTGATAATTAGATCTTACATTCATTTTGTAATGAATGTAAACCTATTCAAGTACCTAAACCCCACTGAAACTGGAGGGTTCCATCCTTCTACACGGCAAAGCAGGAAGCAAGAGGAGGTTAAAGGACTTGTCAGAATTAGTGACAAATACACGGCTAAATGCCAAGCTTCCAGATGCTCTGAATTCAATGTTCATTCCTCTCTACTAGCTAATTTCCCTGGTGCTTTGGCCTTAAAATCTGAATTTTTGAAGCTTATAGAAAAGGCAAAGGAGCCAAGATCTCTCATGAGACAATCAGCTGTGCCAAGACCCTTTCATCTGGCATCCTTGGAGTAAGAAGACAGTTTTTTAATAAGCTTCCTTTGGAATGGGACGGTATTGATCTACTTCTGGTCCTCGGACACAGCAGCCATAGGTTACATACTTCTCTTCCCTTGCTTCCCCTCCACATCTGTCTTTAATCTTTGCCACTGAGCCCTCCTCACTAACTTGACAGTTCATTTAACTCCAATGAAACACATCTACAAAATGTCTATGTTTACCAGAACATCTGCTGCAAAGCGTCTTCCACAGACTTCACAGGGAAATAATTCCTGATTGCCATCTGTATGAGATCCAAGAGCACATTATGTTAGTTTCGTGGAATTGCCTGCCTGAAAGAAATGACTAACTGCAGGAGACCTCACTAGCTTGATATGTTCACCCTCTTTTTCCCTCCCCATCAACTACTTCTTAGGAAGATCCTTTGTAAACTCACCCACGTTTTTCTAACTTTTCACTTCACACTGAATTCTATATGCTTCAGGCAAACAGAGTATAATTATTGTCTTCTTTGGAATGGGGAGGGGGCTTCTAAGTGATACTCAGAAGGACCAGGGGCCCTACCAGCCGTTCTTGGCCAAATGTGCTGGTGGGTCATTGCAAGGGCCTGCAGATATGACATTGTTTAAGCCCCTTGTCCTGACCACATCATCCTCATGGGGTCCCCTAGGGACAGACCTGGAAATGCTTGAGAGACCATGTGTATTGCCAGGAATACAACTGGGTAGGGTGCATGGTAGGCACGTGCCTTCATGCCTGTACTATCTCCCTGACCCTACTTAATAGTCTTAAACTGTCTACTAGCTTTTATTTAGATATAAGTATAAAGTTATCACCTAAAAGCAAGGTCTTAAATAATTCAGTAATAACATCTTTAAGACTTATACCTTAGGCCTTTACGTCTACATGTGAGCTAAATGATGGTATTCTGATATATTTTTTAAAAAGGACTTTAAGTTTTAATTTAGGGTCAATATTCACAATGGCTTTCCCACTCCTGATAAATTCTTTTTACTGGAGTAACTCCTACTAAATCAAAGTGATCGCTATAATGGACTGAGCAGAACTGTTGGATTTGGATCAATCCAAATCAGGTAAGATGGTGTCACTAGAAGGAAGGAACTTAGGAGGATGATGACCATCATCCTAGGGTGGTGCTCAATGTCAAAACTCTCTTTTTTTTTTAATTGAATCACCATGAGAAACACAGTTACAAAGCTGTTCATGATCGGTTTCAGTCATACAACGTTCCAACACCCATTTCTCCACCAGTATACATTTCCTGTCATCAGTGTCCCCAGCTTCCCTCCTGCCACCTACACGCCCACAGCCTGTCTCTATACTGAGAGGCTGATATGTTTGTTCCTTTATCTACTTTCAGGACACAGTTCTTAGCCAGAGTGATCATTTCCAACTATCTTAGCCATAATGGTCCCCTCTCTCCCAATTGCCTTCTCCCCCATCACTTGAAGCAAGCTCCCAACCATGGACCAAATCCTCCTGACCTTGTTTCTACTGCCCTTGGGTATTAGTCTCATATTTTATATACACATGAATAAACATAGAATGATTGCACTCATACATATATAATAAATAATATATATATCCTTCTGACTCATTTCCTCAGCATAATACTCTCCATGTACATCTGTTATAAGTGAATTTTATTACTTCATTTTCCCTAACAGCTGCATAGTATTCCAGTACTATTCCACTCTTTGGATGCACCAGTTTCTTTAACCAGTCACCTGTTTCAGGCATTCAAGTTGTTTTCAGATTCTAGCTACTGTGACTAGTACTGTCATAAATATAGAAGTGCAGATAGCATTTCTGCTATGCTTTTGGGCCCCTGGGGTATATTCCCAGAAGTGGTATTGCTGGGAGCTCAATATCTAGCTTTTTGAAGAATATTCATGTTGTTTTCAAAAAAGGCTAGTCCAGCCGGCATTCCCACCAACAGCGAAGTGCAGTCTCTTTCTCCCCGCATCCACTCCAGCACTGGTTGCTGTTGTTCTTTTTGATGTGTGCCAGTCTTTGTGATGTGAGATGGTATCTCATTATTGTTTTTCATCTCTCTGATGATTAGCACTTGGCAATGTTCCTCAGAGCATTATACAGATTCAATGCAGTTCCTATAAGGATACTATGACATTTTTCAAAGAAATAGATCAAACATCCTGAAATTCATATGAAACAATACCGCCCCCTCCATGAATAGCTAAAGCAATCCTTGGGAAAAGAAGAAAAGAGGTATCATCTTCCCCAACTTCAAACTGTATTACAAAATGATAGTAATTAAAACAACATGGTGTTGGAATTTTGTTCCATCGGAATGGAATGGAGTTGAATATCCTAATATTAATCCTCAAATATATGATCACTTAATCTTGGATAAAGGAGCAAGGAATATGAAATGGAGCAAGGTAAGCCTCTTCAACAAGTGGTGCTTGAAAAATTGGGCAGCTACAAGCAAAAAAAAAAAAAAGAACTCAAACCTCTTTTCTAATGTGATGCACAATAGTAAGATCAAAATAGATTAAATACCTCAAAATCAGAACTGAATCTATAAGGTACATGGAGAAAAACATAGGCAGAGCCCACCACTGAAGTTAAAGGCATCTTCAAGATGACATATCACTGACTAAGCAAATAGAAACAAAGATAAACAAATAGAACTACATTAAACGATGAAGCTTCTGTACCTCAAAAGAAACAGTGACCAAGATACAAAGATATCCCACAGATTGGGAAAAATTATTTACCCATTAATTACCTGAAAAGGAGTTAGTATTCAAGATATATAGGGCACTGGTAGAATTTTACAAGAAAAAAATTATCCAACTCCATCAAAAAATGGGGAGAAGAAATGAATAGAAACACCCTCAAAGAAGAAATACAAATGGTCAAGAGACACATGTATCAATATCAGAACTCTTAAGGGGACTGAAAAAACAGCATTGCTGGCATTTGTGAGTGAAGGACTACAATACTGTTATTTGCTGGGGATGGAGCTTGGCCACACCAAGTAGTGCTCAGGACTTCCTGGCTCTGTGCTTAGGGATCATTCCTAGAAGTGCTTGGGGAGATCATATTTGGTGTCTGGGAGTGAACAGGGGGTTGCCAGATGCAAGTGCCTTAACCTCTGATCCAGGACTAGAATCTTAATATACTCAGGAATTCTGCTATTGGTTTTAATATTTAGTTACAACAGTGTTTTAAAAGCTAAATGGAGGTGCCAGAGAGATAGTACAGCAGATAAGAAGCTTGTTTTGCATGCATCTGACCTAGGTTCGATCCCTGGTACCCTATATGGTCCCCCCCAAGTTCTGCCAGGAGTGATACTGGAGGAAGAGCTAGGAACAAGCCCTGAGCATGACTGGGCATGGACTCAAAATGAAACAAAAACCAAAATAACCAAAAAACCAACCCCGCTCCCCAAGTAAAAATTAAAAGTTAAAGGAAGAGCTGGAGAGAGAGTACAGAGACACTTGCATGTGGCCAACCCCAGTTTGGTCTCCAGCCAGGAATGATCCCTGAGCAAAGAGCTAGAGAAGACCTGAGCACTCACAGGTGTGGCCCAACACCACCACCTACCCCACTCCTCCCTCAGCAAAAAAAAAAAAAAAAAAAAAGTCAAGAATAAACTCAAACATAAAATAAATGCCAAAATTATGCAAAACTAAAACTGACCCATAGAAAACTGCTCAATAAATTGTAATATGGACCAAATAAGAATTGTGCTTCCATCATTGGTCTAATCATTCATTCAATAAAGAACTAGGTCTCTGTTACATGCAGCTCTGTAAGAAAATTAAGAGAAACCATACCTGGGATTTAGCATAAAACAGAGAGAGAGTACACACATAAGTTACTTTGAATGATGGAAAAAAAAAGATTATGGAGTTCTGAAAAAGCTCCACTTCCTCTTCCTTCCTTTCAGTGCATCTGGAGTTGAGTATATTAAGCTTTTTAAAAGCAACTTAACTGATTATAGAGATTCTATACAAAACTAGCTGGGCATTCGACTATAAAGAAGGAGAGCAATTGGACACAGAGTCAGAAAACCCTAAATAGAGCTGTGGAAGATTAAAATGGCAGAGGTGAGAGATGAATAGATGGCAGAGGGGAGAAAGATGGGATTTTAGTTAAAAACTGAAGTGTAGTGAAAACTGGTCTTCAGTAGGAAGCATGCCCTGGTGGTATCGGGATTAGGGGTTGGGGTGGGGATGGTAGGTAGCTAAGACAGGAAAGAGAACACTTCAAAAATGGTGGAGGGAAATGGTCAATTGGAAGGAGGAGGTAATCAAGTTATGCATGAAACTCCTATCGATAAAAGGATTGCAAACCTAGTGCCAAAAGTTATATAAAGTGCTTGTCATAGAGGAAGGTGGGTGGGTAGGAGGGACAAGGGGTCACTGGTGGAGGAAAGTGGGCACAGGTGAAGGGATTGGTGCTGGAATATTGCATGCCTGAAGCCTGGTCATGAATAACTTTGTAATCCATGGTGATTGAATAAAATAATTAAAGTGTAAGGCTGAAATGAAAGGTAAAGAAGAAATAAGCACTGTTAGAATTAATATGACTGAGTTTGAGAGGAGCTGAGAGGTGGTGAAGAGAATGGTGGAAGGATGGAGAAAGTGGTATGGACGGGAAAGAGAGTTTGCAAAGAAGGCCATCTTAGTAAGAGAAATGACCTCAGCTTTGGAAATATTGAGCTTGAGATCGAGTAATTCAGCCAGCGGGATGGAAATGAGGGAGGTCAAGGCAAGAGACACAGATGTAGGCTTTGTTTGGAGAGTGATGTAAAGGCATGATATTGCCAGGGAAGAGGTCATGGAAAGAGAAGTACAGGGATGATCCCTGGAGAACTCCATATTCAAAGGGCCAAGATGATGATGGTGATAAGCCAGAACGAGAAGCAGGAGACACAAAACAGGGTCATGGAAACCAAGAGAAGACAGTGTGGAAAAAAGGTTTGATTAACACAAATCAGATGGTAGCTCATTACAGACACTGTTGATTTCAATTTCAGCTCACATCTGCCAGATGGTATTGTATTTGCAACATAGGTCATCCATTACAGCGTCCAGAAACACCACTGTCCTCTCTTCTCCCAACTCTGAACAACTCTGGATCTTAAAAGTCCTTTCTCAGCAAGAATACCCCACCCTTTGACTTCTCTGTTAATAAAAACTAATCCTAATTCTAAAACTTCTGCTTCTCCTAGTGACCTGTGAAGCATTGTTTTCAATGAATATTCCTGTGACATTTGTACAGTGTTTTTCTGTCCTCAGAATCCTTCTTGTTCTGTAATCTTTTTACTCTTAACAGCAATCCTGTAAGGAAGGGTTGGTTCTTTTTCCTGGAAATCTGTAAAAATGGAAAAGGCTGGGTGACTTCTTGAAGACCAGAGGTACAAATAGTAGCAAGGAGAATGGAACCCAAATCTCTATCTCTGTAAATGTAAAGACCACCCAAGGACAGCACAATGGTTGTGCACCTGCAGTTCATCATGTGTAAGGCCACAAGTTTGATTCCTGGTACCACACTTGCGCAGGGCAATCCCAGTCATGCAGCACTGTCATAGAGGATCCCTGAAGTTGTAAGAGACTGCAATCTCTGGTGCATGACAACCAAGTCTCTGTGCTCTCTTCAACCAAGGCACAACCCACTGGTGAAGGCATGCTTGGTTGCACATGGGGACGAGGGTTATGTGCAAGCACTTGCAACCACGAGTGTGAGCACTGTGACCAATTGTGTTGCAACTTCCAGTTATGACAAAAAATATGGGTGGGTCATCAATCACTAGAAATAGATGCATCTGTACTGACCTGCAAAGCAAATGGAAATCGCTAGAGAAATGAATGGCTTTGGGTTCAAATCAGTACATTTTAAAACAACGAAGTTTAAAATAATACAGGAGGTCAGAGAGGGAGCTCAATGGACTGAGTGGCTGCAAAGCATGCTCTGTAAGCAGGAGGCCAGGATTCCTCTCTGACACATGCTGCCGGGAGTGCCACCCAAGCACTGAGTTGGGAAGGAGCATTTGGGCAGCTGCTGGGCATCCTTCCTTTCCCCTGTAAAAGACACAACAGGATCCAATCGAACAGCTGAAAACAGCTACATCAACACATTCGGAAACACATTGAATGTGGAAGTTTGCATATAATGTAGAGAGAGAATGCCTCCCTACCTGTAGCACTGTCCTCCCACTGTTCATTGATTTGCTCGAGCGGGCCCAGTAATGTCTCCATTGTGAGACTTTGTTGTTACTGTGTTTGGCATATCGAATATGTCATGGGTAGCTTGCCAGGCTTTGCCGTGCGGGTGAGGTACTCTCTTCGAGGCTCTTCGAGAGGGGCGGGGGAATTGAACCTGGGTCGGCCGGGCCAGCCTCGTGCAAAGCAA